CGAAGAATACCACGACGTCCTCTACGCCGGACACTTCGGTAGCAACAAGACGCTGACCGGTATCGCAAAGCACTACTACTGGCCCCACTTGGCAGAAGATGTCCAGAAATTCGTCACCTCGTGTGATACATGTCAGCGGATGAAGAGCAGCAAGCAGAATAAGGCAGGACTACTGCAGCCTATTCCTGTCCCAGAACAACCATGGCAAGTGGTTAGCCTGGACTTCATCACCGGGTTACCACCTACCTCCAGCGGTCATGACGCCATCCTTGTCGTCATTGACAAGTTCTCCAAAATGGGACACATCATGCCGACACACACGACAGCACGCACCGAAGAAACAGCACAACTCTTCGTTCGATACATCATCTCACAGCATGGCATTCCAACCACACTCATCTCCGACCGAGACCTAAGTTCACCAGCAAGTTCTGGAAGGAAACTTATGTCTCTCCTCGGGACCAAACTCGCCATGTCATCTGCTTACCATCCGCAGACAGACCGGACAGACTGAGCGCCTCAACCAAATTGTTGAGCAACTCCTCCGAGCAGCCTGCAAGGACGAGATCTCCAAATGGGACTTGCACCTGCCCGTACTAGAGTTTGCTTACAACAATGCTACACATGCCGCTACTGGACAGACGCCGTTCTTCCTCTGCTACGGACGCCACCCCACTCACACCACAAAAACTGACAGCATCAGCTACAGTCCAACCAGCACATGATTTCATCACAACCATGCATCAGCTTTGGGATCGGACCCACAAGCGCCTACTCGACATTCAACAGCAACAGAAGCGCCAAGCCGATCGCCATCGCAACGATCACACCATCACGGTGGGAGGCCAGGTGCTTCTTGACACCCGCAACCTGGACATCAGCCATCTCCCATCTAAACTTCGACTTCGCTTCTGCGGGCCTTTTCTCGTTGAAGCACAGGTCACTCCTGTTACCTTCCGCTTACGCCTGCCAGCTACCTGGAAGATTCACAACGCCTTCCACGTCCAACTTCTGAAGCCCTATCGGGACCCGAACACGATTTTCGTCGGACGCCAACCGCCGCCGCCACCGCCCGTCCTCGTCCAGAATGAACCCGAGTACGAGGTCGAGTCCGTGCTCGCACACCGCCGTCGTCGGAATGGCACCATGGAGCTTCTCATCCGTTGGAAGGGTTATGATCCTTCTGAGGACAGCTGGGTACCTGAGTCCAACATGGGTAACGCCCGTCGTCCTCTGCATGACTACCTTGTCAAGCAGGGTGTTACTTCTACCACCCAGCTTTGAGGGGGGGAAGTGTGAGAGTACGACCCCGTTACACCACTTGGCCTTTTCTTATTTCCTTCCTTTTTCATTTCTCTTTTATTCCATCTCATTTGGTTTCCTATTCTTCCTTTTCCATTAACCTTTGGTTTATCCTGCTATTATAATTATATCACCGACCAGGCTTGGGATATACTGGTGCGCTCTATCTAGCGTAATCCTGCTGTAATCCCTTAAAGCCAATAGCCTCGCGTGGCTATACGCAGGGTGATTCTATCTTCTAGAAGGGTCTATTCCCTTAGGATAAGATAAACCTGGTTACCTGATGTACTCTGGAAGTATAAAAGCGCCTTGTACTGATCGATAGTGCAACCTTTCCTCGACACATTCGATCCTGTGACATCATCCATGTCCATATCAAAGATCCTAACACCACGGCGGAGCAGACTGTGCCAGTCGAGGAGGTCTGCCGCTGGGCCGAAGTGGAGACGAATCAGGTCGTCTAGGCAACTGAAATAACGAGTGGGGGTAAGGTCGGTCTTACCACACACGAGGCCGCAGCGAGGACCGGTCTGGAGCTGGTACTGGCAGCGCCCGTGACTCAGACCACCACCCGACGACATGCTGCGCGCACGACCAGTGCGACCACCTCCACCACCGACGCCAGGCCACCCGGGCGGGAGACGAGCGACCCGCCGCCGTTGCTGCTGCTGTGGCTGCTGGTACTACTGCTGCTGCTGGTCCAGCTGCGGTGCCTGCTGCTGCTGCTGCTGCTGCTGGGGATGCTGCTCCGAGGCACCAGTTCCAGCCCCCTCGTCAGTACTACCAGCGGGCGAACCACCTCCACCACCACCTCCACCCCCTCCTCCGCTACCTCCGCCGCGCCCGGCCTTGGGGCGGCGACCCTTACCCGGACGAAACTGCGTTGCGACAGCCGCGGCGGCTGGCTCCGCAACATGGGCTGTCTAAGCGAGAGCAGCAGAACCGTCAGAGTAAGTGCACTGAGCGGAGGCACAACCATGCAAGATAGTGACCGGCACAGTACTGCTAGACTGGGTGATAGAGCGCCGACGAGTCTCTATGGCTGAAAGGGTGTCAAAGAAGTCAGTGAGGGTGAGGTCAATGGGGTGGAGACTAAGAAAGTGATCACGGGCTGTAGCAAGCCGGTCAAGGAGGCGGATGGCAAGCAGGTAGAGGGTAGAGCAGATGGGGGGCTGAAAAACACGAAGTTGGGCCTCAGTGCAGGCAGCGCGCCAGGTCGCATTTAGCGTGCGCAAGTGGGCGGCCAGGTCAGCGACAGTGGGGAAAGACGTGAGATCAGGAAAGAGCATAGGCAGGATCAGGTGACTGACGGAGGCAGAGGACGAGGTGGAATAGCGCGCGACAACAACCTGTAGGAACTCCTACGCAGTCCTGACCGACCTAAAGGGGGGGCGCTCAGACAGGGGGAGGGCATGACTAACCGCGAGCTGTGCGACAGCGTCACGCGACAACCAGACAGCACGGGCAAGGGCAGCAGCGGCAGCGGACTCACAGTCAGCAAACGTGGGGTCAGCGGGTAGAGCAGCAGGGGGGTCAGGGCAGGGGAGCGTACCGTCGATGTGGATGGCCAGGGAGTGGCCATCCTGCTGCTGACCGGTGAGGTGATGGCGGAGGTCGACGAGCCACGTGCCGAACTCAACCGGCTGACCCTCCGCATCAAAGCGCATCACCGAGTCCGCCATCATGGTTGCTGTAGCAGCAGAAATGTGGTAGGGGCGCTAACTGAGCGACAGAGTGCGGCAAGAAGATGTAGTGTGCGGTGCGGTGCAGTGCGGTAGATTGCGGTAGTTGTGCAACACGGTAGGGTGCGGTGCAGTGCGGTGTAGGGTGGTGGAGTGCGGTGGAAAGGGGCCGATGAAGCGAGGTGGGGTAGGTCGCGGTGCGGCTGGTCAACAGGGGCCGAGTGACGGCTAAGCGACAGGGCCGTGTGGCGGCGGGGAGACGGGGCCGCGGGTGGCGAGGTGACGGGGCAGGCTAGGCGGCTAGGTGACAGGGCCGGCTAGGCGACGGGGCCGGCTGGGCGATGGGGCCGGCCAGGCGACGGGGCCGGCTAGGCGACGGGGCCGGCTAGGCGACGGGGCCAGCTGGGCGACGGGGCCGACTAGGCAACGGGGCCGGCTAGGCGACGGGGCCAGCTAGGCGACTGGGCCGGCTGGGCGACGGGGCCGACTGGGCGATGGGGCTGACTAGGCAATGGGACCGGCTAGGCGACGGTGCTAGCTAGGCGAAGGGGCCGGCTGGGCGACGGGGCCGGCGTAGGCGATAGGGCCGGTTGTACTACGGGGCCGTCTAGGCAACGGGCCGGCTAGGCGACGGGGTCGGCTGGGCTACGGGGCCGGCTAGGCGACGAGGCCGGCTGGGAGACGGGCCAGCTAGGCGCTAGGTGACGGGGGGCCACTAGGGGACGGGCCAGCACGGGCGGAAGGGTGACGGGGCAGCTAGGACCTATGGCGGAAGCGCCGGTGGGCGGGGGGGACCTAACCTACTCATGATACCATATCAAAGTTAACGAATGACTACAACCATGGCATACAAGGGAATATAACCTAGTGGGTTGTACTCTCTAAGGCACAACCCTATGTAGTCTATAACAACATACAAGGATATGTTGGACAAGCCACACTGAGCTGTGTGCTTGCTCTGCACACCCCTTATCTAGCCTAGGGGGTGTGTCAACTTATACATACATTCAACACGTAACAGTCATAGGCTAGAATAGGTGTATGTTCTTAGAGAGTACAACCCAACCCTATATCTTGCGTATTCTCTCTTGTTTTCTACTTATTCTAGTATTCTAACAGACACAAGCACCTCTGCAGCACTGTCACATCTCCGATGCACACTGGGAGTTCCACCCGGGTCACCAAACTCCAATACCATATCAGAACTCAGTCACTAACCACTGAGTTAAAAGGGCTTGTCAAGTAGCGGGTAAGTGCACCCATAACCCCCCAGGCTCTGCACCTGTGACCCTTCCCGGAGGACCAAGGGCAACCCCAGTGTGTATCTTGACAGAGCTTCCAATGACAGCACCTTTCTGGCTGTGATACAGAAGCAGGCCAGGCCGCTACTGTGATGTTGGGCGTTCTCGTACTGGCAGGCCTACCGTATCATGGATCATCCCAGCGGGCGGAACAGGGCCTGCAGAGGCAGCAGGCACGTCCAGACGGTGCAGGTGGCGACTAGAGGAGAGAGTAAGTGGCAGGCCGACGGTGCAAGAGGAGGCTATGTGATGGCAGGGCGGTCATGGGTCACCCCAGTGGGCGGTACGGGGCCCGCAGAGGCGGCAGGCAGCTCCACCCAGTGCAGGTTGTCGCCCCCGGGCTCACTCTCCATGCCAAACGTTCCTCCCTGTGGCAATGCATGGGGAGGGGGGGGAAGGGAGAAGACAGGTCTCAGCAATCGGATCTCAGCGAGCACGGCCACCCCCACTCTTGCAAAGGCATGGCCACCCGCACTCTCGCAAAGGCATGGCCACCCCCACTCTCGCAAAGGCATGGCCACCCGCACTCTCGCAAAGCGCACGGCCACCCGCACACTCTCGCAAAGCGCACGGCCACCCGCACACTCTCGCAAAGCGCACGGCCACCCGCGCACTCTCGCAAAGCGCACGGCCACCCGCGCACTCTCGCAAAGCGCACGGCCACCCGCGCACTCTCGCAAAGCGCACGGCCACCCGCGCACTCTCGCAAAGCGCACGGCCACCCGCACACTCTCGCAAAGCGCACGGCCACCTGCACACTCTCGGAAAGCGCACGGCCACCCGCACACTCTCGCAAAGCGCACGGCCACCCGCACACTCTCGCAAAGTGCACGGCCACCCGCACACTCTCGCAAAACGCACGGCCACCCGCACACTCTCACAAAGCGCACGGCTGTCCCAGCATGCGCCCCCCCCTCTCCTCACTCAAACGCTCTCGTCACTCCCAATAACACTCGCATTTACTGTCACTCTCACCTGTAACTCACCTGGCAGCGTGACAACACACAGCGCCAGCCCCGCCCCCCTTGCCCTCAGCAACGGCACTCCAGCATGCACCCCCTCGCCCCCTCGCTGAGCCCCTCTCTCCCCCTCACTTGACAGCCATCTGGATTCTCCCTCTCTCCTCATGCTGCTCCTCACCTGCAGGTCCACCAGCAGCTTCACCACATATGAAGCCAGCCCCGTGCCCTCGCCCTCAGCCACGTCGCTGGAGTCCATGACGGTCCAGCATGCGCTGCCTTTCCTCGTCGATCTC